CCCGGGCCCCGAAGGCCGGCGGCGGCCAACTGCCGGCTGTACAACACGCAGGCCGCCATGTCTGCGTCCGACCCTGTCCCCGCCGCGCTGCGCGCCTGCGCAGAGACGCGGGAGGAGACCCCGCCCCGGGCACGCCCCCTCGGGGGCGGGGCTCTGCATTAACTCTGCGGGTGCCAGACGCCAAGCTTGCAGGGAGCTCGAACCCGGCATTGGCTTGCACAGCGCAAGCTTTCCACCAGTGATGTCACTGGTGGGGTGCGGGGGGAGGGGGGCGGGGAGGGGTGAGAGTTGGGGAGTTGCCCTCCCCCCGTGACACTCTCAAATGAGGTGATACCCAAATGACTATTAAATTTCGTGTCTTGTTTCAGCAGGAATGTATTATTTTTCAATTAAAATATTTCCCGGAGTTCATAGGTTCCCAAACTTACTGGGCCTGCTGCCCCTTTTCAGGGGGGAGGGGGGAATTGCTCAGGACAAAAAATCGTTACCTCCAGGGTAAAATGTAAACATCTCCTTTTTGCAGCCCCCCCCCCCCACCTCCCCGCATGGATCCAGCGCCCTCACCCCAAGGGGAGGGTATCACTCACTCTCTGTGGAAGCACACAACAACCAAAACATTTTTCTTTTCATTTTTTTTTCTCACTCACTGTCTCACTCTCACTCACTGACTCACTCTCACTCACTCACTGTCTCACTCACTCTCACTCACTCACTGTCTCACTCACTCACTGTCTCACTCTCACTCACTGTCTCACTCACTCACTGTCTCACTCATGACTGCCTCACTCACTGTCTCACTCTCACTCACTGTCTCACTCTCTCACTCACTGTCTCACTCTCACTCACTGACTCACTCTCACTCACTCACTGTCTCACTCACTCACTCACTGTCTCACTCATTCACTGTCCCACTCACTCACTGTCTCACTCTCACTCACTGTCTCACTCTCACTCACACTCACTCACTGTCTCACTCTCACTCACACTCACTCACTCACTGTCTC